GTACAGCAGTTTGAAATGGTAATTTAGTTATGAAGTTACTGGCATATAAGGGAGAGTCCGTACAGTTAGGGAGATCAGTATTGATAAGAATTGAGAGCACAGCGTTAGAAATAGATCTGCTTTCTTATTGCAGAAAATTCAGAATTACAATGCATAAGTAAAATAAGGATTTATTTCCTCCTTTAAAAGAAAGCCTGATGTTGGCAGTGCCCAGTACCAATTCCATGAAGTCAGGGACCCAGGCTCTTTCTGATTGCAAATCTATAAACCAGCACATGATTACCAAAGTCGCCTTGTGGTCCAGGCTACCTACTCGAGTTTCAGTCATCCCATTTCTGTTCTAGGCAGCAGGGAGGAGAAAGGGGAATGAGTCATTTCCTTTCCCCTGCCGTCATCTCCGTTTTACAGCCTTCCAGAAGTCTCTCTCAACCAGTTCTGGTTATATGATATTTGTCTTAGCATGGCCATATTTTGCTTTGAGGAATACTGGAAAATGTACTGTTTTGGCTAGCTATATTACAACTCCCTAGTAATATAGGAATCTTGTTAGTAAAGAAGACAGGGAGAAGGGATGCAGGTAGGCTGCTAGCTGTCTCTGTCACAAGTGTTAATTATCCATGTGAACAGCAAAATTTTTAAGATGGTGGAAAGATAAGGAAAAACCCTGAGGTCCATGAGCAATGACAAGTGTAACAGTCCAGTGGAAGAGAATGGATGAGCACTAGACCAGTGCATTTAGAAAGCCTTCAGAGAATACTGTGACAGCGAGATGCAAAAAGAAAACCAGCCATACTTGCCAACTCTTAATTCTTTTAAATACTGGAAGGGAAAAAATAAATAAATAAATAAATATTGGAAGGAATGTAAGAGAATTAAAACTCATTACTTGAGAGAACTGCAAAGAAAAGGATTTCTTAAGTGACATTCAGGTGGGAAGAAGGAATCTAAGAAAAGGTAAGACAGTTTGCTGATTCTTCAGAATTGTTTCAACTGTTGTTTCAACAATATTTCCGGGGAGTATGGTAGAAGGAGTATGGCTGTGTGGAGAAACGTGGACGTGGTTGGGGCAAAAAGTATAGTTTACAGTTGAGAGGAGTAAGGATGCAGTAAGCAGTGATGCTTAACCTTTTGCTTATCTACCCTCAAGTTGAAAATAATGAAACATGAGTCTCCAATATTATGTAACTTTATAAATAATTTTTCTGTATTGGTGTACTACATACAGTATATTTAAATATATATATATATTATAAAAATACTACATGTGCCTGACTCTTTGCCGCCCCATGACTGCAGCCTGCCAGGCTCCTCTGTTGATGGGATTTTACAAGCAAAGATACTGGAGTGGTTTGCCATTTCCTTCTCCAGGAGATCTTCCCAACCCGGGAATCAAACCCTGGACTCCTGCACTGCAGGCAGATTCTTTACCTACTGAGCTACCAGGGAAGCATATAAAAGAAAAGTATAAAGGATGAAATAAACATATCAATAAAATGCTGATATTTTCTTCCCACACTCTAGCCATTCCCTGGACTCTTATGGGTCTCAAAGTCTGCAGCCTCAGTATAGCTTAGGGTGAGAACTGTTAGGGGAAATAGAAGCAATCTGGCACAGAATTGATCCCTACACTCAGCTAGAAGCCTTCCCTTTGAAAATAAGAGGAAGAACACTTAAAAGTCTTCAGAAAAATTTGGTAATCCATTAAGACGTACTAAGATTAAATTTCAAGGAAGAAAAAACATATTATCAGTTATAGGTATTATGTGAGAAGACATTTGATCTGTAATCTCAGTAAAGTCAAATAGCCAAGACATATAAAAAATAAAAACATACTAAAGACGAACTGCAAATCATTAGAGAAGGAAAGGATTTTTTACCACTTGCATTTGGCACAGATACCAGTAACTGAGGTAGATGCCAGTTATTAAAGAGTTAAATTTGAAAAACTAGAGGAAAAACTGGTAAAGTCATGTAACTGAATATCCAGTTTCTTGGAGATAAGAACTTTCCAAGCTTAGAATTGATAGAAAAATCACTTTGGGTACATAAATATTTCAAGTTTCTGTATTTTAAAACAACATTCAAAAATTGAAAGATGGCATAATACTTGCATCCAAAATGTTTATTTTCCAAAGAGCTCATGTGATGTACTTTTAATAAAGAAATACAGCAAAAATGCTGGAAGAAAAGACCTGGACAACTCACTAAGAGGATGTGTTGGGGAGTTCTGTCACAGTTATTAAAAAAAGAAGAGCTGACTAAAATAGACATGAAGCTCGAACAACTCAAGAGATGACTGGTTTAAAAAGGGGAGGGTGATCAGCCATGCTTTTAAAAGGCATGGCATGGGGAGAGGTGATTCAAACCAAGTTCTCAAACGACCTGGACATGTTTTTAAAAGAAAAAAGATGTGGTTAAAAGAAAGAGAAAAAGAAAATTTTGTCACATTGTGATCAAAGCAATGAATATAATAAGTGGATTTTTATTTTTGCTTCCAAATTAGATTTTTTTTTTGGTCAGATTAATATCCAGTGCTGGATATTGTACAGTAAAAATGAAAGTATCGTGCTTTTTACATTGTGAGTCAGTGTAAATCAGTACAGGTCTTTAAGAAACTCCATTTTTGTTTCTCATTGATAACTGGATGAATCAAATCCCTACATTTGATACAGAAATAAATACATTAATAAATGAAACTTCAAGCTCTGTGAGATAACCCTAAAAGCCTAAGCCTTTAAAAGTAGTTCCTTCAGACACAGCTATTGAATTTAAACACACGCAGAATACATGATTTTATTATTTGTATATTAACACATCTTTAAAGAAGGTATGAATTGGAAATCGTAAGAGTAACTAACAGCTTGCCATGTTCTAAAGCTGTAGTAAATAAAGCTGTGATAGACAGTAGACTAACAAGTAACAAAGCAAGATAGACAATATACAGAGTTGGGGCCTTTTGTCCCATGAAAATTTAATATATGATAATGAATGACAAGTGGCATTTAAAGTCGTCAGGCAGAATGAGCTGTTCTTTTATTCATGTATTTTATTTATTCAGAAAATGTTTTTCGAAGGCCAAGCACTATCGCAGATGTCAAGGATCGATCAGCAAACCAAGTGGACTATAATTGCCATTATCATGGAGTTTAAGTTGGAGTTGCAGAATCTGAGAAGAAATAGGTTGAAGATGATTCCCTGCCGAGGAGAACAGAATGGAGCAGGAAAGGCGATAGTGTTCACAAGTTTCCGCTTGGGGGTGTGGGGGGACAGGATAGCGCTCTTTCCTACTGTATAAAGAACTGCCACAAGGCAGTTGGTTAAAAAACAAGCGACCAAACAGAAAATTTGACGAATTTTTTGTTTTGATAGCTATTCTGCCTTCATAAAAGAGGATATAGAAGTCTTCAGTACATCTCTAAGACCTTTTGAGTAGTGAACATGCAAAATCAGAAGTGAGATAACACAGTCCTGAGAGTGATACGTTTAATACCAGTTTTTAATTTAATGTCAGTTTTCTGTGAGTTTGGGAAAGATGGCTGCTTGCATGTGTTGCAGCTATAACTGCATAGTGGTGATTTGTTTTGAAGGACAGTGGAAGAGTAGCTCTTCAAATGAGAAAGGTGCACGTACTACTAGCCAGCAGTTCTCCTTGGTGTCTCCCACGGGAACCCAGGAGTGTGCGCTCAAGAAGGTCTGGTAATGCAGCATGGCTTGTAATCTGGAAAATCTGAGAACTCCCTAGTTGTGCTTTAGTTCAAATGTCGTGCCCATACTGTGGAGCCTTGTAGGGCTACGCAGATCTTCAGAGCATATTACGGAAACTAAGAGGAAAATTACAAGCAGTATGTGTACGCACCGGTGGTAATAATTACCACCGAACTGCACAGCTCTCATCACTGAGAAAGCTGTTTAGGGTTGTGGTTTCAGAGAAGTTTCTAGCTTCAGCCTTATCTGTAACATTTTTATTATTTTTTTCAAGAGATGGTAATGTTGTAGCCCCACTTTCAGGAAACAAACTCACTCAGGACAATGCAGATAGTGGAGTGCAGTTTATTACACCGGTGGGCCCAAGGCTGAGTCTCCTCTTAGCCAAGGACCCCAACCAGTTTTTATAAAAACCTTATATACCCTAAATGTATGTGCTCAAACCCACCTCTCCAAATTCTCTGAAACAAGCCTGAACAAAGGAAAAGAAAGATACAGTCAAAGTTAACCCATGATTCGTATGCCTTAAACCCATGATTCGTATGCCTTAAGCCTAGGTAGTTAACAGTGGACAATTACCAATAGACCTGTGGTCATACGCCAATAAGCATGATAGAATTTATGATTTTATTTGGTTACACAGATAATTAGGGTATTCTTTTAGGAGACGGAGAGTCTAGGTACAAGCCCTGGGGCTCTTCCAGGGACCTGGTTTTCCAGTTGGTATGTTGTTTGCATAGATACTGGGCATATAGCGCAAAGTCCACAGTCTGACCCAAGATGGAGTCCTGCTTTCGAGATAGAGCCTGTTCTGTCTGTTTCCTCCTTCAGTATGTTTATTTTTACGTGTATACATAAAAATGACCAAAACAATTCTCCCCATTAACCTCAGCTCAAGTGGCATTTCCCCTCTCCCAATGCATATTGTGTATTTTATCAGTTATCACATATCTAGCCCTTGGCAAGTGCTCCTATACACAAGGTTGTTTTTCCTAATGCCCTCACTTACCTACTAAATTTAAATTGCAGGTCCTTTTGACAACCTCAGACTAGTCCTTTTATTTTAAGTATAATGTCAACAGAGAAGGCCTTCCTTCATAGAAATTTATCATCATCATGAATCTTGTATTCTTTGGATAGTGTTTCTGTGTTTTTTATATTTGTGAATCAGATCCATAGTAAATCAAAGTTTTATTTCTAAATTCACTTAAATTTTAAATTATTTATTAGAGACAAAATATATTTTAAACATTCAGTCCTGGGAATTATTCATATCATTGTATTTTTCTTTATAGGTCGATTGTATGCAATGCAAACTGGAATGAAGATTGATAGTAAAACTCCTGAATGTCGTAAATTTCTATCAAGGCTAATGGATCAGTTAGAAGCTGTAAGTTGAACACTGAACATTTTTCTGGTTGATGTTTATAATACCATTTTATTTCATTTGTGTGTGTGTGTTATTGTAGCTCTTAACTGTTGGTGTCCATCAGCAGTGTTACTATAGCTGAGGAAAAATTAGACAGTTTTTTTTTACATTTACATTATACTGCTTAGGGAGTTGTAAGTAAAAGTCGGTTTCAGTGTCTTTGTTTATACATTATTTCTTGTTCCAGGTTACTGTAGATGACCTTTGAATCATTCTTTCATAAGTAACGAATCATTTCTAACCTTCCTTCATGTACTCACATGGATGATTGATTTAGAAATTCTTAAATAGCTCTACAATAATGAAATGGGGGACCTCCCTGGCAGTCAAGTGGTTAAGACTCTGCTCTTCTACTGCATGGCGGGTGGGTTTGCCCTGGGGAGGGAACTGAAATCCCACATGCCACAAGGCACAGCCAAAAAAAAGAAAAGAAATGGGCTATTTATTTAGTGGAAAGGACAACGAGGCAAGTTTGCTATTGTCTCTTCCTCCCACTCTTAGTCCTGTGACAGGATACTCGTATGGCCCAGGCATTCTCCTCTGCTGACAGAAATGTGGTAGGTGACTAGCGAATCATCCTGAACTATGATGTAACATCACAGATTGTGTGGAAGCACCAATCTAGGGAAAACTGAATGGATTTGATTGGGTATCAATATATCAGGAAGGCAATGCTAAACTATAGTAACCTCACTTAGTAATACGGGCTCCACCCTGTGCCTCCCAGTTTCTTTTTTAACAGTGTCAAGGTCTGCTCATTAGTTCATCTCCTCCCTGGGTTGGAGGAGGGCATAGCAACCCACTCCAGTATTCTTGCCTGGAGAATCCTTTGGACAGGGGAGCCTGGCGGGCTACAGTTCATGGGGTCACAAAGAGTCAGACATGACTGAGTGACTAACAAGAGAATTAGAAACCTAAATATTTATTTGACCAGTTGCATTATTTTGTTTAGAGAAACAAAACATATCAAAAATCAGACCACTTTACCAGTCAGTCCAGAGCCTTTTATAAATGTTGAAAGTTATTCAGATCAAAGTCTTAGTTGTATGAAGCAGCCATGGATAAGAGTGTTCTCTCTAACCTTGTATGGGTGTCTGACCTTCTGAGCCGGAACCCTGTCATCTTATGCTGTTATCCACCCAAGGTAGGCCTGGTGGCACCACTGATGACCACTCAGCTGCCCTTGGAGCCTGTCTGGCCTTCTGCTTCTAATGCTGCTTCTGTGAATGCAGGAAAAGTTTGAGTACTCTTTTGGAGAGTGGGGTTAGGAGGTGGATGGATGTGTCTGACAGGTAGCAATACTTTGTAAAATACCATCTGTTACAGACATTAATATAGAATAAACCTCTTAATTTTACAGCTTAACAATAATAGGTGAAATAACAATAGCTTATGGATAAGACAAAACGTAAATGGTTCTTTATAATACACAAAATGTAAAATCACATTTATAAAGGGACTTACCAGGAATTTTTTATTATCTGCATTAAATAACAAGGAAGTTTATTCCATAGTGAGAACGTATCTACTTGTGTTATAATGTTTATATTTATAGTTGGAAAACTTCAGGTATATTATGTTTTTGCTGCCAGATAGTTTATGTTGAGGATGAGATTAAATGGCATACTCCCACTAAATTTTTCCAGAAATAAATTGCCTTTCCAATTAAATTATTTCACAGTGTGGATACAGTAAACTAGTGTTACACGTGGGACTTTTTTTTCTGTTTTTGTTCAGGGTAAGGATGCCCAGATGTCCTTAAATTCCAATACTCAGTCTCCTCTGGGCCTTAATTATGAGAATATTGACTTTGCCAATTTTATGAAAAATTCTGTGGCTTTTTCTAAATTTAATTCTTTACTTTATAATATTCTTTGAAAACAATTTTTAAATAATACTGTGATACTCAGATCTAATATTCTGGAAGGTCACTTTATTCCAATATGACAGTGTCAGTAAAATGTAGGAATTTAATTTGTTTTTAAAATACTTTTAAGTTTTTCTGTGTGTAGGGAAGGGATGTACTGACTGGAAATTTACATGGGTGTAAATTGTGTTGATTTGAGGTGTGTATTTGGCTAAATTTAACAGTGTGCTCTGAGAGATACTTTTTAGGATATAATGATCCTTCTCATTGTATTTTTCTATATTTGATAGGAGATATTGAAATAGGAGTAAATTTAAAATTTAAATTATATGGCTAGGAAAGAATTTTTTAACTCCATCTTTCTTAGCATATTTGAAATATTTGTCTGATGCTTTACATAGTTGGGCATGTTCTCTTTTTTTTGCTTTTTATTATTTTGATATTTGGGCTCCCCAGGTGGCTCAATGGTAAAGAAGCCACCTGCCAGTGCAGGAGACACAGGAGATGCAGGTTTGATCCCTCTGTCAGGAAGATCCCCTGGAGGAGGAAATAGCAACACACTCCAGTATTCTTGCCTGGAGAATCCCATGGATAGAGGAGCCTGGTGGGCTGTAGTCCATAAGATAGAAGAGAGGCGAACACAACCGAGCATGCTCTCACATGTTTTGACATTTAAAACTAAATTATACTTTCAGGTTATCATGGGTATCTTTCTTCAAAGTTTTTTAAACATTGGATTTGATTATTAGGATTTTTTGTTCTTGGTATACGCTTCTGAGTCCAGAATCATAAGTTCTATATCTCATTTCATTTTAGCTTAAGAAACAGTTGGGTGATAATGAAGCTATTACCCAAGAAATAGTTGGTTCTGCACATTTGGAGAATTATGCTTTGAAAATGTTTTTGTATGCAGATAATGAAGATCGTGCTGGGAGATTTCACAAGTAAGTAAAGAAAGATCAAATAAAAATGACAAGTTTTATTACTGTATAACCAGAATTATTCCAGCTTTTTTCTTAAGTTTCAGTCTTCTGAAGTTTTTTCAGAAGTTTCAGGCTTCCTGATTAATGATTTAAGTGGGGGGGTTTTTTTTGGAATCTTAGAATAAGTCTGGGTTACAAGAGTGATCCTGACTTTTTAGATAACATGGCTGAAAAACAAGTACCCAGAGCAGATTCATTTTCTCAGTAAATACACTCACTAGCCATTCTTCAGCAGTTAATAAAATCTCAGTTCAGTTCAGTTCAGTCACTCAGTCGTGTCCGACTCTTTGCGACCCCATGAATCGCAGCACGCCAGGCCTCCCTGTCCATCACCAACTCCTAGAGTTTACCCAAACTCATGTCCATCGAGTCGGTGATGCCATCCAGCCATCTCATCCTCTGTCGTCCCCTTCTCCTCCTGCCCCCAATCCCTCCGAGCATCAGGGTCTTTTCCAATGAGTCACCTCTTCGCATGAGGTGGCCAAAGTATTGGAGTTTCAGCTTCAGCATCAGTCCTTCCAATGAACACCCAGGACTGATCTCCTTTAAGATGCTCAGCTTTCTTCACAGTCCAGCTCTCACATCCATACATGACCACTGGAAACACCATAACCTTTTACTGTTAGCCAAAACATCCTGGTTCAGTGATACTGATTTTAAAAATTTCCAATCCCACTGACTCAGATGATTTGTCATTATAGTAAAACTTAAATACAAAGAAATACACGTAGCATAGTATCAATTCAGATAATATTGTCACTACATCTTCTAAAATGAAAAACATATTGTGAAAACCTTGTTGTACCATATTCACCTGTAATATGTGTTGTCACTTCCTCCTAATACAGATTACAGAAGGAGCTCCATTGTGTTCCTAAAATCTGATTTTTTTGAAAACATGAACTTCAGAGTGCTTTTTAAAACATTGGAAGTTTTCTTCTTGTAGCTACAAGACTAATTCTGCATCTTACATTTTTCATTTAAATTAAATGAACTCTCTTTTCTCTTCCAGAAACATGATCAAGTCCTTCTATACTGCAAGTCTTTTAATAGATGTCATAACAGTGTTTGGAGAACTCACTGATGAAGTGAGTGTATATTCTTTATTGCCTTATTAGCTAGAGATCAGTATTGTTGCTTTTTATTAGTTTTGTTATTGCATTGTTTATTTAGAGCCCTTGTACATCAGAAATGTAGTAAAAGCAAAACATGTAATTTTAAATTGTCTACTACATTTTAAAAAGTTAAAAACAAAAGGCGAAATTATTTTTTAACAATAAATGTTCTTTTTTTGTAGTAGATTCTTTAAATCCAGAATGTGTTTAACAGTTTTAGTGAGTGCATAGCTACTATATTGGTCTCTGAACCCCAGGTTCGTAGTTTTATTTTATTGAGTTTTTAAATATTACTGATCCTTGGTGCTGTTAAACTTATTTATTGTTATTTGGTAAGCATTACTAGAGGCAGAAACTTCTTAGGACTGTTTTTTTTTTTTTCTTTTTTTTTCCTATTTTGTGTCTTGCCAAAAATACTATTGTTAGAGATTTGTTTCTATTGTAAAATGCATATACAACTTGATATTTTTACGAGGTAGTTCCTATCCATTTTTATCAGTTTCTTTCTCAGAACCACTCTGAAATAAGTTGAGCACATATTTGTTTTATGTGTGAGCAAACTGAGGCAAAGTGATGAACTTACTGCCATCAGTTCAGTGCTGTTTTCACTGTAGTGGGCTTTACCATTCAAATGGAAAAATTGTTTTCTGAGAGGAGAGAGATTGCTTTAGAAAGAGAAAGAAGAAAAGGGAGTTACAAGTGAGACTGATAGAGGAATGTCTTATTAGTCATTTGAAATCTCTGGAGAGATTGCTTTTTATGAAAAATGATTTTTTTCAAAATGGTTAGCTGTTCAGAGTAAATTTCCAAACAAAACAATCTATGAGATAGCTTACGTTTTCATAAAACAATATATCAAAACTGTGCAAAATATTCTTTGTTTATATATAAAATGAAGTGAAGCTCTAGGGTTGATGATCATAAGCTCAGTTTTTGAGTTGGCAGAAATGGGCAGTACAGTTCAAAACTGCTAAATGAGGGACACCTTTTACTGAGTGTGACTGTCCCTTTTATTTCAAAGCATCAAGCGTCCCTGGCCCTTGCCCTCAGAGCATTCTTCCACCAGTCAGATGACTGGAAACACCAGCAGATATTTCCAAAACCTCTCTAGGATATGGGGCAATGCCCATCAAAGGCCACTTCTCTCAGATTTTCTTGAAATAGGGAAGTACTGAATATAAGAGAAAACTGAGACTTGGAGTGTGAAAATCAGAGACACTTCTCACTTATATTTAAAGGTTCTGTAAATCCACTGTTTGGCTCCATTTCTGCTCCCATCTCCTGTCACTATTTACCTAGATTTTTTTTCCTGTTTAAGCTGGTATGCGTTGTTGTTTAGTTGCTCAGTCATGTCCGACTCTTTTGTGACCCCATGGACTGTAGACCAGCAGGCTTCTCTGTCCATGGGATTTTTTTTAGAGAGTACTAGGTGGGTGAAGGAGAAAAAGAGACCTGAAAAGTAAGTCATAAACCAGATTAGACAGATGATAAAAAGACTGGGATCTTCAGTAAGAGGACTTTTTTGGATAAAGAGCTATACTTTGAGCAAAAGAACTAGTTGATTATTACTGTGGAACCTCCTACAAAGTGGGTTGTCTTTGACCTGAGGAATAATAATATGTTTAAACTTAGATTTAAAATTTGAAGTGCAGGTATACCAATCAAAAATAAATTGCCACAAGACTCTTGGAAGTCAAAAGACAAGAAATACGCAAAATAGAGGTGAAAGTTCGAGTTAAGAGAGTAGACAAACTCTCAGGTTAAGAAGATAGTTTTGAAAGAGAATATGGTTAGATAAACATCCTGATAAACACCTGCATGTAAAAGGCTAGAGTAAGAAGTGAATAAAGAAACACAATTAGAGAAGATGATAGAAATGTCAGATGTCAGAAGAGAATGTCATAATGAGGCAAAGTAGTAGTAGATCGGCTTGCCATATCCTTCTAAGTGTCTCTTCCTTCTGAGAAGCATCTCCTACTTCTTTCTTGGAGGAGCTGCTTTTGCCCACATATCTCAGAAGCACGCACACAGTTCCATGAAGTTATAACTGTCAACAGTGGGGTACCCAGACAATAGGTAAAGTAACAGATACAGGAAAAAGAACAAAATGTTCATAAATCTTAAGTGAGTAATGGGTATTTTGTTTTGTTTTTGTTTTACTTAAGGGACATATAAATATATCTATTTAGCATGTACTACATCTGTATTTCAAAAGAAAAAACATAAGTTTACATTTAGGTACTAGAGCCAGACATCCTAGAATGCAAGGTCAAGTGAGCCTTAGGAAGCATCACTACGAACAAAGCTATGAAGGTGATGGAATTCCAGTTGAGCTCTTTCAAATCCTAAAAGATGATGCTGTGAAAGTGCTGCACTCAATATGCCAGCAAATTTGGAAAACTCACCAGTAGCCACAGGACTGGAAAAGGTCAGTTTTCATTCCAATCCCAAAGAAAGGCAGTGCCAAAGAATGCTCAAACTCCTGCACAATTGCACTCATCTCACACGCTAGCGAGGTAGTGCTCAAAATTCTCCATACCAGCCTTCAATACTATATAAACCGTGAACTTCCAGATGTTCAAGCTGGATTTAGAAAAGGCAGAGGAACCAGAGGTCAAATTGCCAACATCCTTTGGATCATCAAAAAATCAAGGGAGTTCCAGAAAAACATCTGCTTTATTGACTATGCCAAAGGCTTTGACTCTGTGGATCACAGTAAACTGTGAAAAATTCTGAAGGAGATGGGAATACCACACCACCTGACCTGCCTCCTGAGAAATCTGTATGCAGGTCAAGAAGCAACAGTTAGAACCGGACATGGAACAACAGAGTGGTTCCAAATCAGAAGAAGAGTATGTCAAGACTGTATATTGTCAACCTGCTTATTCAACTTATATGCAGAGTACATCGTGAGAAATGCCAGGCTGGATGAAGGATAAGCTGGCATCAAAGATTGCCGGGAGAAATATCAATAACCTCAGATATGCAGATGACACAACCCTAATGGCAGAAAATGAAGAACTAAAGAGCCTCTTGATGAAAGTGAAAGAGGAGATGATAAGTTGCCTTAAAACTCAATATTCAGTAAACTAGATCATGGCATCTGGTCCCATCACATCATGGCAAATAGATGGGGAAACAATGGAAAGAGTAACAGACTTTTTTTGGGGGGGAGGTGGGGGACCTCCAAAATCACTGCAGATGGTGACTGCAGCCATGAAGTTAAAAGATGCTTACTCCTTGGAAGGAAAGTTATGACCAACCTAGACAGCATATTAAAAAGCAGAGACATTGCTTTGCCAACAAAGGTCCATCTAGTTAAAGCTATGGTTTTTCTAGTAGTCATGTATGGATATGAGAGTTGGACTCTAGAGAAAGCTGAGCACTGAAAGAGTGATGCTTTTGAACTGTGGTGTTGGAGAAGACTCTTGAGAGTCCCTTGGACAGCAAGGAGATCCATGCAGTCCATCCTAAAGGAAATCACTCCTGAATATTCATTGGAAGGACTGATATTGAAGCTGAAACTCCAATACTTTGGCCACCTGTTGTGAAGAACTGACTCACCTGAAAAGACCCTGATGCTGGGAAAGACTGAAGGCAGGAAGAGAAGGGGATGACAGAGGATGAGGTGGTTGGATGACATCACTGACTCAATGGACATGAATTTGAACAAGCTCCAGGAGTTGGTGATGGACAGGGAAGCCTGGTGTACTACAGTCCATGGGGTCGCAAAGAATCTGACAACACTGAGCATCTGAACTGAACTGAAGAACCCTGAATAGGGAACAGCTTCCTTAGTTACTTGAACATAGTAGCTAAAGCCAAGACTACCTAATAGGACAAATGATAGGACTTCAAGAGGAGTTGGTGGAGATTTGTTTAAATACTCAGGATACTGAAGAATATATGTAGTATAAGCATGAAATACATAATTTTTTTGCCTTGCATATGCACTGAAGTAGGAAATCAACATCTGTTTTGGTGGTTAAAGGATCAAGAAATCAGGAGGATCAGAAATCAGGTCTGAAATAGTATGGAAAAAATTAGGCATTGTAGGGACGGCATGGAAAATAAGTCCCTGAAGCTACTTTATTGGGCTGAGATTTATTTTTTGGGTCTTCATGTAAAAAAATCCTGCATTTTAAATTAGAAAAGGAATGTACACACAATTAATATGTAGTATAAGGTCATTTTCACTGCCATACATATGTTTGTTACAGCATGAGAAATTTGTGTATCCAGTGAAAGTTGTGTATATCAAAAATTATAATTTGTTTGGCATACAGTACTGACATTTCTCATATCGTATTATTACACAGCGATATTATCCTTACATGACTAGTAAATGGGTTTTTGGCCATGATTGAAGGTTGACTAAATAAAGGCAACCGACAAGGAAACTAAAATACTGGCAAGGTTGTCCATGCGTCAATAACATAATCCAGCCAACCAGTTTGATCAGCCTGGTTTCAAATTCTGTTTTCTCTTACTTTTAATGTTGTTTTGTTCCATCATTTTTCATTTCTAGAAATGGCATCTCTATCATTATTACTGAGGAAATAGCTTTTTCAAAATCATGATTTAAAGTGTTATAGTTTTAAACAGTGCTCCACTTTAGCAGCTGCTGCAGAAACAGGTAGTCAATGGCATTTACTCCCTGTTGTAGGTTCTCACTGTTGTCTGAGGAAATCTGAGGCTTGTATTTATTAACTTATGATTTAAGCACTCACTGCCTAAATCAAGATGCAAATTATTGGAACATTTCTTATTTCAGAATAACTATTAATCACATGATATTTTTAAAAACTGGGTATAGCTGGTTACTCATAACTGTTGTAACTCATTCCCTCTTTCAACTTCCACTTCAGTTCATTCTGTACTTTAAAAATACTAGCAGAGACAAAGATAGGAAACAGAAAGGTGAGAAAAGAGTGAGTTTAAGGATTTCAGGTAGGCAGATTTTTTTTTTTAAA